AAATGTTTGCCATCTTTGGAAATTAACCTTGGGAGTTGACCTTCATTTTGCAAAATAAGCTATAATGTAGCTGTCAACATTGGGCAGCTTATTGACAGGGAGGTCTTTCCTCCTGCTCTTGGATTGCATCACATCACTTGGTCTTTGACCCATGTTGAGTGCATAAGCTGTGTGTGTTACCTGAAGTGTCAGTAAAGTGCCAGCCATTTTCTTCCTACAGTTGCACTGATTTTCTTCTCACGGGTGAAATCTTCACTAGTTGGTTGCTGTTTTCTGGTTGACTTTAATCCATAAAAATCTAAATAGACTGAGCCCTTACTGCTTTGAAATAGCTTCATACGTCTATTTCAGTTATGATTATTAAAAACAGCGAAAGTGCTCTTGATATTTGTTTTAAGCAAGGGCACTTGCAGTAAAAAAAATTCATATTCTGAATGAGGCCTGTGTAATCTACTTTGGAAATTTTAGTAATAAACCTGGACTAGCTTTAAATTAAAAACACAGTTGTTTGGGTTTGGTTTTTGGTTGTTTTTATTTTTTTAAGAGCTTGCTGCCATAAACTAGAATACTTCTGTTACATAAGGCAGCTAAGTTAAAATTAGCTCAGGTGTATCTGCTTTGGCCATAATTGTATTTATGAATCCTCTAATTATGCTAACCTTATAAGCTATGGGCAGGACACATTATGTAGGGTGCTGCAGAGATGTTTTTCAGATAAGTTAGATGCAGAGTGACAGGTGAGTTTGGTATTCTACAGCTCATGTAACTTTGTTCTTTTGATTTGTAGAAGGGGTCCGTGGAGCGTTGGGTAGGTATCTTTTTTTTTTTTTTTTTTTTTTTTAATCTAACACCATGCATTTCCATTAACATGGCCTTAAAAGGTGAAACTTACTGGGTTACATTATGTATAACTGGGAACATTTTCAGTTTCACTTCTTGATTTCAGTTGTGTTTCACCTAGGCCATGACAGTAATCCTGTGGAATAATTTGCTACTAGAAAGCTCCTAGCTTGTAGTTAAAAAAAAATTATCTGAATATTCAAGATAATGGCTGTCAACTTCTGAAGCTTCAAAGCATTTCTCGTTTTTGAGACAATAAATTTAGGTAATACATTAGTGAAGACTCAGTGTCCGTGCAATTCACAACTGGCTTTCTTGGAAGTGAAAGTTCCAGTTATAAATCTTTGGGGTTTCTTGGATTTTTATTTTTTGTTTTTATTTTTGTTCAATATGCATGTGATGCATTTTGAGCAAGACAATGGAATAAGATGCTTAATGGCACTGAAGCTTTAATCTTGATGGGCAACTTCTACTTTCAGCTATGTGTCCTTTGCACGGTTACTCTTCTGAGGTTGCTTATATTAGCTTTGTGGATTCTCCTCTGCCCCTGGTAATTTTAAGAATTGTGAATAAATTTGTGGTTCATCACAAAGGAAAGAAAATATATAATTTTTACATAAGCAGGGATTTTGCTTAGGAACTAATAACTCCATGATTTTTGATTTTTTTTTTTTTTTTATAATTTAGTTTCTGTGCATAATGTTGCGTTTCACACTAATAATTCTGAAACCAATCTCAAATTGTGTCAAAGAATGGAACAATGAATACTGTGAATTTCTGTGTTCTGTGAATCTCTTTGTATTCTTGCCTCTCTGAACAAAAGCAAACCTTGCAAACTCCAAGGTAAAGAAAATCTTGAGTTCTCAGCTACCTTTGTCATCCAAGTTCCTGAATAATGAGGCTGGTTTATCTGAGGTTCCCATGAATATACTTCCTTTGATTTGAAAAAATAATCTTTGATTTGCACTGTCTTGTAACACAAAACTTTTATTTTCCATGCAAACAATCAAATCCTAAATCCTTTTGAGCATGTTGTGTGTTTTCTTTTAATTTTGTGTAAAGGAAACTGTCAGATAGCTGCGAACTTCATTTGTCTTAATCTTCTGTTAGCCTGTTCTTGAGAAACAGGTATTGGTGTCTGGCTATCTTTCCTTCCAAGATCCTCTGTCTACCAACACGTAGGCAATGTGTGATGTGTGCATGTCTGCTAAAACAGGTTACCTAGTGGTAAAAGCTTCAAGTTCTTCCTTCTGGGAAGGCAGCCTGCAAGGTCAGCAGCTGAAAGAAGTACCAACTGGTAATGTATGCAACAGTATTTGACCCAGGAAAGCATTTGTTTTTGTGAGGGTGATAATCACGATATTGATACATGAGACAGGCTAAGTGGTATTCACATTGAGCTGAAATAGAGGGGGGGGAAAAAAAAAAGGCAAAATTCAGTATGCCAGTTAGAGTGGGAATGGCAAACCATATTCTGGGAAGAATGTAATTTGCCTTTAGGATCTAGCCTGAACTACCAGAAGGGGTGGTCCTGACTTGCCATCTTCTTTTCCCTTCTCTTCCATTTGAGCTGCTTCATCTGGCTGCTGTGGGTTCAAGTCCTGGTGTGCAGCACAAGGCACGTAGTGGAAGTGTGGCCTGGAAGATAGGATGGGACAAGCATGGAAGCAAGCCTCTGCTTTCAGCATCACCTATTAGTCCATTTTAGCTGTAGCATTGGATGATGTCTTTACAAAGATCTGATAAGAGAACATTGTGGTAGAGTCAAAAGAGTAGAAACCAAATCTTTGTTTTATTAGATGTTGCCAGAGCTGTACGTATTTTGAAGCTCAGCTTAAAAATGTCAGTTTATGCTGCTAAAATGAGCTGAAGTGATCAGGAATTTGGGTGACGTGAGGCAAAAATTTTCTGCTAATAGAAATATCTGGAAATATATGTGGCTGACTTAGACCATACAGAACGACCTTACAGCATAGTCTTCAGTAACTAGAAAATCATCTGTGCTGAAGTGCTAATGATAGCAAACTTATGGAAGATATAAGCATCTGCAGTTGCAGAGATCTAGGGAAGTACTAGCTGTTGCATACATCTGTGTATGTTACACAGACCACGTGGGAGGGATGTTCTGTGAAATTAAAAAAATAAGAGATGGTTTTAAACATGAAGAATTTCTGTAATAGTGTTAATAAACGATCCAGCCGTAAGAAAAATTGTAATATCTCAGTTTCTTGTCTGGAAGCGTGTTGGCAATCTGCAGGTTGAAAGAAATCCCGAGTTTCCACCTAAATTAGCAAATGTTTTCAGGAAAATACTGGCCTCTTAATATGGCACAGACAGAAAAGCATCCAGGTTAACTTGTCAGCGGATCAACTTATTTTGGATTGTGCCCTTGAGCATCAGTGGAAGTAGAGCAGAGACACTCTGTAGCTGTGTGCATGGGGTAAAGGGAGAAGGGGTTCCTAGGAGGCTAGATAAGGCATGGAGAGACGTAGTAGGAGTGAAGACTGTGCCAGCAAGAAAGAGTCTGACAGTGAGATGGAACCTCTGAATTGCATTTCTGCCTTCATGCTAATGTTATTGCCAGCCATTAGTGTTATTTAAAGATTGGCAAAAAGAAAACAGATGCTTTTGTTTAATATTTCTGTCACAGAGAAAGCTGCCTAGGGCAGCAAAGCTTTTTACAGAGCTTACAAAATATGAAAAAAACTTAGGAGTTGCCAAAAAAAAAAAGTGAGGTACCCTCCAATCATGATTTTCCATCTTCTTTTTTTATCTTGCCATTTGCTCTGCATCTTCATGACTTTTAAAAAGCTTTTGACATTGGCATTAACTTTGCTATTAGATTTTTTTGCTCCTCTTTCGTTCTTTCCACTTTTTTTTTTTAATTCCTTCCTGTTGTTTTTGGGAATTCTAGACTCCTAATTGCATCCAATAATTAAGTCTGAATTGACAAAGAGAATAAATAAAGAGGCAAGAGTAGAAGACCCCTGCTAACATGGATCTTTTACAAGCTTTGCTGTGTCATGAAGAAATGATTGATATTACCTTTGTTTTAAAACAGTGTACTCAAAAGTTGAGTTAACTCTGCCTTCAGTATTTGGGTTTGGCAATGTGTTTTAGAACAGGATAGTTACTTGAGAGTTGGATGTTAATGTAGGGTAGTGTAGAGAAATGCAGGTTGTCTTTCTGATACAGAAAAATACAAGAATTGGAGAATTATATCCCAAATTTTATCTGCTTGTTAGTCTAATTACTACAAAGCATTAATAGGCAGATTGTGCAAGCTGCTTAAGGGATTCCTAAATGTTTTGCTGAGTTTCAAAACCCTGGTAGTGAGATTAGCTATTGAAAGGCTAGTTTGCCTGAAGTTCTGGAACTCTTCATGTCTAGATTCCAAATATTTTAAAAGACAAAAAGAGATCAATTCAGGTAGCTAATATTCGGACTCCTTGCATCTAGCTGAGGTCTTTTTTGAGTTTAAATGTTTGTGCTTTATTCCTCAGAGTCGTGCTCCAATCTCTGCAAAACTTGTTGCCAACATGCTGTCAGTTGCAGGGGCCGACCATATCATCACCATGGACTTGCATGCTTCTCAGATCCAGGTATCTGTGGATAGGGACTCTACTGAATTAATGTGGAAGGCTAATTATTTGGTTTTTTCTTGTGTTTTGAAAGGCTATGTACAGAATTGTAATTCTCAGGGTTCAGAGAAAGTCTCACTACCTGTTTCTAATAAAATTATTTTTTGAAGGAGACCACCCTTGACTTTATCCAGTGATTTTGCAGGCACTTCAAATATTTGTATGTTGGAGTCTCCAGTGGAGTTTGCCAAGTCTAGTATAAGAGCTCCTAGAACATAAAACATACTGGTCTGTGGCAAATTCTCTTAACTTGGCCTGGTGAGACATTATGGTATTACCATAGATAAGTTTGTTGTTACAGGCAAGGGGACAACGTTCTCTTGAGAGAAGTGAAGATGGAGACTGCAGCCCTTAACTGGCTCACTGCTGAATCCAGCAAATCACAAAACCCTTTCCTCAGGCACAGAGCAGACATCACTTGTTATTCTCATGCATTCTTCTTTTCAAGACACCTTGCTTTTAGTCTAGAAAACACCTTTTCCAGTTCTGGTATTCTGTTTAATCAGGACTTCCTATTATGCTAGATGACTGTCATGCAAATAAAAAGCAGGTTCATTTGTGGTCTAGCACAGACTTCTGTCATTCTGACCTTCACAAAAAGAAAAGTTCTGTTTCTGCTGTTCAAGTAGTATTACTTGAATCTTCCCCATATTAAAATACTACTGTTTATTTCAAGCAGTTGAAATTTGTGGAAACTGAATATTACTCACTGGATTTTTTGTGAGAACTTTTCACAAATATGAATTTACTTTAGTGTCTGAAGGTGATGTTCTTTTCTGATTTTTTTTGTATCATTTGAGAACAGCTGTTGTTTATTTCACTACTCTTAGGAGAGATTTTGAGATACTTGTCTGAGAGATATTTGTCTGACTTTTGTGTTTGATAGTAATATCAGAGGGGATAATTAGGACAGTATAAAATAGTAATTAAAGCTCTACTGTACATGAAAGGCAAGGGCTTGATTCTTTCCCTGTGTCTTTGTTCCAGGCAACATATAAACATGTGTTCATTAAACTTCTCTTTTATTTTTCCCCTTTTGGAATAGGGTTTCTTTGACATTCCAGTAGATAACCTGTATGCAGAACCTGCAGTGCTGCAGTGGATTAAAGAGAACATTTTGGAATGGCGAAACTGTATCATAGTCTCACCTGACGCAGGTGGTGCAAAAAGGTACTATACAAGCCTAAAACTATTAGTTTGCTGCATAGTTAATGAACTAGTTTGTCTAGTCTTCTTCTTTCCTCTCTGAATTATGCAAGATATAGAGTACATCTCTGAAACCAACTGCACTGTAAAAACAGAACATCTAGTTCTTCCAACGCTATTCGTGCTTGAAAATTTCCAGGAGCTTTCTATACTCTAAAGAAAATCTTTTTCTCTCTCCCTGGATGTGGCTTCATTAGCTGAATCCCTCTGCAGGAGGGAAGAGATTTTTTCCTGCTGCTTGCTTCTTTAGTCCAGTTGCTGCACCTCTTCCTGCTTCGCTCTGGAATTGCATAAGTTTCCCTTCTCTGTCAAAGCATATGGCCTATCCCCACTGTACCTGCTGGCATTTAGGTAAGAGCTTGCTCGAGTCATGTTTCTTTTTTCCTTTGTTATTGTGTTCCAGCTGTAAACCTATTGACCCCCAGTGGTGCACTCTGAATACTAGGAAAAGGGAGCAAACTTTTGTCTTGGGTGACAAAAGGTGAAAATAGAAGAGTTAGTTATTTGAGTGTTTCTTCATTCACAGCGTGCATTACTCATCAGAGTATCTTTTATTTGGTATATATTGAACGTAAACTAATGCAAAAGCTCAGAAACACTGTGGCTGGTGAGGTGGTAAATCATGCCGTTGAGGCAAAGTGCTTATTCTTGGGTTTTATTGTTTGTCCCACTGCTAAAAAACTCAGTGGAAGCAAAGACAAATGAAGTATGAGTCCTGTAAGCTTGTAGTAATTTAAAAGTTTGAAATATAGTATGGGGAAAAATGTGAAAGACTGTCCAATTTGATTTTAATTCAAGTTCCTGGGTCTGTTGTGAGTGTTCATGTTGTAATAAATAACTGACAAATAAGGTTGATTAAAACTCCATAGTTGTACCTGTTTAGATTTATCAAGTTAAACTTGTGAAGAGTATAAACTGTAGAATGCATTCTGAAATACAGATGACTGACAGTTAAATTTCTTTGTTCATTCCTATCTGGATACTGTGGTTTGAGGTGTTTTTGTTTTGTTTTTCTTTGGGTGTTTTCTTTAAACAAAATGCAGCCTTTGCTTAGAATTCAAGTCAGACAACAGCAGGTATGATCAGCTTGATAATATACAAATAAAAGTTTATTTTTGAGGACTGCCCTTAATCTATTTAACATAAGAGTCTCTTTACTACCTTTCTGTTGTGATCCAACCAAGAAATTGCTGGTGTGATGTAGGGGAAGATGTTGCTTTCAATAAACTCACAGATTCTCCTTCACCTCCAAGGTGTAACATAAAGAAAATGGTTTAACCTTTCCATTTAAAACATGTAGACCTTCCAAATAATACTTATGTTAGTGAAATTGGAATAGAATGTGTAGAAAGCTTGTCTTAAAATTTAAATCTGTAAGCATTAGAGAAATTTTAAAAACCCAAACATGTTCTTACACTCATTTAAAATATCTGAATTTGGTTTTGCTTCTTACCACTTGCTTGGTTAATTTTCCCAGTTTATTAAACTTTGTGATTGAAACAATGTATGCAAATGATATCTTAATGCTTCTGAGGTATTGAGACTGCTATGAAGTTACACTGTTGTTCACCAAAAAAAGTACCAGAACATTTGTGTTTTTTGTTTATCACCTAGATGTTGAAATACCATAACTAACCACTTCTTAGACTTAAGTGGTAGAGAATACAGCTTTTATTAACTGTGCATATTAACCTTATTAAAAACATTCTAAACTTTTTAAAATAAGGCAGTCTACAAAGCTTCATCAGCCATAGTATTTTTTTTTGTTCCTGAGTCTTTATACCTACTAGCTCTAGAATACTGGGGGATAAAAACAAAAAAAAACCCCAAGCCTTTAAAAAGCAGTCAGGAGTCCACAAATTAAGTTTGTTATTGGATGTTTGGCCACCAGAGGTCACCCTGAATAGTTTTAAAAGGTCTTTGTCGAGAAGATATATTGCTAAGGGAATTACTAATGAAGTAAGCTACTTGATTACTAGTCAAGTACTGCTAAAAGAATTATTTCACATTCCCACAATGATATTTTCAGTTAGGATGTTAAAGTGCACGCTGCTGTATAATTAGCATTGAGGCTACCTCTACTTTGAACTAGCATGACTAGGTATTGCAGAGCTTAATAAGAGCTTGTGAACAGCTGAAATATTTTCAAAGCCAGGCACTTGACAGAAAACAAAAAAAATTATTTCAGGAGTATAGCTCAAGACTCTCTGGTTGTATTTTTTTTTTTTAGCAGTGAATTAAGATTATTTCTAACCTATCTCATTACTTGCAAAAGTTTGTGCTGCGGTGATTTGAAAGCCAGGAAGCAAACTATATATTTTGACAAATACACGTGTATGGCGCTCTTTTGTTTTGAAATTATTCCCTAAATGTGTTTTTTTTTCTTCATGTAAATTAGGGTTACTTCAATTGCTGACAGACTGAATGTGGAATTTGCTCTCATTCACAAGGAAAGAAAGAAGGCAAATGAAGTGGACAGAATGGTCTTGGTTGGTGACGTGAAAGACAGAGTAGCAATTCTTGTTGATGATATGGCTGACACATGTGGCACAATATGTCATGCGGCAGACAAGTAAGTATTGCTATGAACTGGCTCACTGTGCTGTAACCTGCAGACAGCTGATGAGTGCAGTTGCTGTATCCTGCATGCTTATAACCCAGCCTGACCTCTGTAGCATGAAGTCACTCTGATCCTTGAGTCTGTAGGTCACAGTGCTGTGATCAAGCTGTGTCGCTTCTTTAGGACATGGAATTGAGAAAATATTTACAGAAATATTACCTGTGTTTAAAAAGAAGACTGAATAAAGTCATGTAACTTGGAAGGGACTTTGGCCATATAATGCATTTCTCAGTTCCAAGGCAGAAACAACAAAAAATCGTTCTCTTAAACCTCCTCGTGGAGTCCTTCCACTCTCCTTACGCAATCTTTCACAAAGCTTTAGTAGATTTAACAGTGCAAAGTATTTTCTCCCCAGTGTTCAGTGCATTTGCATCTTCAGTGTAAAACTACTTGTCCTTTTTATCCAGGGAGGTAAGAATAAGTTTTCCCTGTGTTTTGTCTGGAAGTTAGTTGGAGAGTGTTCTCATTCCCCTCTGGGCTATAAGTAACTTCAGTTTGTTCAGTCTTTCTACTTAGTTTCTAGACTTCTACTCTGTTGATGCCCACTGGATTCTTTCCAGTTGGTCTACTTCTTGAGATGAAGCCCACACCTCCAGGGATGGTGACTCAACCACTAACCTGGGCAGCCTGTTCCAATGCTTGATGATCCTTTTGGTGAAGGAATTTTTCCTAATATCCAAAGTATGCCTCCTCTGGTGCAACTTGAGGCCATTTTTTCTTGTCCTATCACTTGTTACTTGATTGAAAAGACTGATCTCCACCTCACTACAACCTTTTTTCAAGTAGCTGTAGAGAGCGAGAAGGTCTCCCATCAGGCTCCTCTTCTCAAGGCTAAAGAACCCTAGTTCCCTCAGCCACTTCTCATAAGATTTGTTCTCCAGACCATTCACCAGCTTTGTTGCCCCTCTTTGGACACCCTTCAGCACCAAAATGTAGGGAGGGGGCCAAACCTGAACACAGGATTTGGAGTGTGGCCTCTCCAGTAGAAGGGGGACAATCTCTTCCCTAGTCCTGCTGACTACACTATTCCTGATACAGGCCAGGGTACTGTTGGCCTTTGCCACATGAGCACACTGCTGGCTTGTGTTCAGCTGATCTTGACCAATACCCCCAGGTCCTTTTCTGCTGGACAACTTTCCAGCCACTCTTCCTCAGGCCCGTAGCATTGCCTGGGCTTGTTATGGCCCAAGGGTAGGACCCAGTACTTGGCCTTGTTGAACCTCAGCCTGTTCAGATCCCTCTGCAGAGCCTCCTTACCCTCAAGCAGATCAATGTTCCTGACCAGATTGGTGTCGTCTGCAAACTTACTGAGAGTGCTCTTGATCCCCTTATCTAGATCATCAATAAAGATGTCAAACAGACCTGGCCCTGGTGCTGAGCCCTAGGGAACACCACTCATGACTGGCTGCCAACTGAATTTAACTCTGCTCATCGCCACTCTTTGGACCTGGCCTTCCAGCCAGCTTTTCACCCAGCAAAGAGTGTGCCTATCCAGGCCCTGAGGAGCCAGTTTCTCTGGGAGAATATTTTGGGGAACGGTATCAAAACAACAGGATGAAGCTTAAGTGAGCTAGACATTACTGTTGGTAGTTTACAGTGAAGATCATCCCACAAGTACGCGATCTTTTTAGCTACATGCTTACTCTTTGCATCTAGATAAAAAGAATGCCAAGAATTTGTGGTAGAAGGATTCATATAGTCTTGTGTTTCTTTTCATCTGGGAAGTTTGAAACTTTGCAAAGAGATATTGTGCAGTTGATTGCTGTCTGCAAACTAATCCGAATCAGACCCCAAAGCGTGCTTCAGAAAATGCCTATCCAATGATTTTTGATTTTTGTACTCCTGTGCACAGAGGAAGCTAAATCCTGTCAAAAAGGAGGCTTTTATTTCTTTCCTGTTAGGAAAGAAGCACTTGGTTTACCTACAGTAGCTTTCTATAGAGCAAATTCTAAACCCGTTACAAATCGTCAATGCATCTAAGATGCTTTTGCTTGAGTGGTGCTGCCTTCCATGTTCTTGACATGAAGTAGCGCTTTTCATTAATGCCAGATCTAGGTAAGATGTACTTTGTGCTTAATTAGATCTGCTTGCCAATTTTAGACTTTTTATCTCAGTGACCTAGATGTATATCAAGCAGATGAATTAAATGTATTTTCTGATACAGCTGATAAATAACTTGCTGTCATAGTGCATCCTCCGTGTAGGATGCAGCTACTGAATGTAATGTTGAGAATGACCAGAAAACTTTTATTCTGCTGAGTCATTCAAGATGCATTACATTTCTGTGGCTTTGCCTTTTTTTCCCCTATATTACTGTGTTTAGGATATGATCTGATAAAATACAATTCTTTGGGGCCACTATTTCTAAGACTAGAAAAGCAGCTGGGACCTAGCTGAGTGTCTGGAGATGGAGAGGCCAGTCAAAACCAAATTAAGAGATTCTGACTTATTCACAAGGCATTCTAGTTCTTTGATTTATACTTTTTTTTTTTTCCTCCTGTGTTGCATTATTTCATTGCATGCTTGCATCAGCAGCATGTCTTCCCACAACCTTGCATAACCTAGGCTTTTAATCATTAACACTTCTACTTCCTCAAAAACTCTTCCCAAGCAGAGTTGTTTGAATTGCAAATGAAGATAAAGGTGGACAATAATGGAGGCACAGAGTTGTGAATACTCTCATCCAACCTACTTAATTTTTGCCTGTTTAAGATAGAAAACTCATACTGGAATTCAAATGCATGTTGTGCTGGTATGGTCAAAAGTGCAGCATTTTAGATTAGTATCACTGCTGCTGATAGTAACTTTTTTATTTGGTTAGCAGCTATATATTTTTTTGTATGCGTGACTTATTTCTATAACTAGAAAAACGATTCTCTGAATTGTTTTGTAGACACTTATATCTTTCTGCAACTCTAGGAGGAATTTGTTTGTAAAATGTCTTTTAGAGATTTGCATCTGACTTCATCTATAGCCATGTATGTAAATGTGCATTGCAGCATACTTTTCTTTTGTATTCTACAGGTTAATATCTGCTGGAGCTACTAAAGTTTATGCCATTCTTACTCATGGCATCTTTTCTGGTCCTGCTATTTCTCGGATTAATAATGCAAATTTCGAGGCTGTTGTCGTAACTAATACAATCCCCCAGGAAGAGAAAATGAAACACTGCCCAAAAATTCAGGTAGAGTGGTGGTTTTGTCATCTGTTTAAACTCTGGATTTGTATTTACTGTTCACTCATGCTAGAATTTGTAACTTGAGAGGCAAATAATATTCTAAAATACATTGTTTACAGTACATCTTGCTAAAACATGCCAAAGAACTGTTTTAAAGGGATTCCAGTAGTGGAACAGAGTATTGCAAAATATTTGATACTTGCAATAGACTGAGTATGCCTGACTGCAAGAGTGGCAAATGCAGAATTTGCTCTGTAGTTTTGTTGATTTTGTTTGTCTGTGGGTGGTTGTTGTGGGTTTGGGGGTTGAGGGGGAGTTTGACCAATATTAATCATGCAATATTTTTATGTAGGACCTTTAGTTATGTTATTGTGGATGCCACAGAAACCTTAGAGGACTTCATTTATTTATTTTGAAAATACAGTGGTGAAAATGGTCAGGATAATAATGACATGCTTCCTTTCAAAAGCCAAACTGAAAATAACAAAGTTGACATGTCCGTAGCTTTTACGTGATATTGTTCTGGAAAGTCATGTCTGCAGGTGGAGAGGCCACCTGTTTTGGAGTTTTTCCTTAACACAGGGGAAAGTGTAAAAGATTGGTCTCTTTTTAATGCCACATAGTTTGTTTGTGTTTGTTTTTTTTAAGCAGCTTAATTTATTTGGTATTTAAGGAAGGCAAGCGCTTAAAAGGTGTGCTTCCCTTAAGCTGTATTTGTGTCAAGTGGACACTGCCATCTGATGGCTAGAATAGTTTTTCTGACAACATGCCTCGTGTGGGAAGCCTTCAGAAGGGTGCCTGTGCACCAGTGCTTTCTTACTCAATTATTAAGTCTGTACTTCATATTAATGCAGTACTGTGTACCAATGGCAGTAACTGTAAACATCAGGTGTTACCCCTTCTAGTAGCAGTCACTGTCTGCAAAAACATGCTGCTAACTTCAGAAAGTAGAGGCTATCAAAAGAGACTTTGCTGAAAAGTAAAATCACTGAGCAGAATTGTTTCTGTTTAGCTCAAACCAGAGAAGTACATATGTATGTTATGTTATTTTGCTTCCTGCAATGACAGCACAATGGTAAATTTAATGTTTGTTCATGTATTTATAAAATATGTAGCTGATTGTACTTGGCATCCCATAAAATTTACCTTTTTTGATTATTTTTTTTCTTTCAGTTTATTGACATTTCCATGATCCTGGCTGAGGCAATTCGAAGAACACACAATGGTGAATCTGTGTCTTACCTGTTCAGTCATGTCCCCTTGTAACTGCAGGAAATGATGTTGCACCTTTGTAGAGGTCCCTTCAGTTGGCCCTGTTTTTAACAATGCATCTCAGCCACAAGAAATTACTATCTTTGTACAATTCCAGAGCTTATATGTTTAATTATTATATTTGTCTTTTAATTACTATTTGTTCTTTGTAAATGGGCAATAAATCTGTCTTGCGGAAACTTTGTTCTAATTCCACTGAAAGGCTGGAGGTCTTGTGTGTTGTGTAAGTTCTTCTGTATGTCTGTCCTCACTTTCTGATAAACTGCTGCCCCAAATCCACTTTTCTATATGGAACTACAGACTGTTCATAGAACTTAATGGGATGTATGCATGCAAGATAATTTTCTGTTACGTGAAGTGCTGTAGGCTTGGGTGTCTTTTATCTGTTCATCTGTCAGGCAAACAGCTGTTGTGCTTTGTTTTGTTATGTTTAACTGCCATGAATAGTATTTTGTAAGCCCTAACAGAATGTAAACTTGATGTTAATTTTGAACTGTTGACATATTCATAGTATTGACTGGGTTGCATACACTTCATGGTCTCTTTCCCACAAGATCTATGTGGCCGCTGTTTTCTTTTGTAAAGCTCTCATTGCATTAAATTGTTTGCTTAACATCTATTCTGTGCAGTTACTGTCTTCAGTTGTAAGACTAATGTTTCAGTATTCCTGGGATGGTTCCTTTCATGTATTTCAGTAATAAGGACCAATCTTTAATCACGAGCAGTTTGATTTCAGTTTCACTTCTTCCCCATAGTTTTGACACTTGTTGATTGTGATCATATGCATCATTCCATAGTAGTTTTCCTGTGAAAATGCACACTATGCAAAGTCCAAACAGCAAGTTTAAACACGCTTATATTTATATAAACTGGTCTCTTCCCCCATTTATTTGATTAAAAAGTGTCTGAAAATATTTTGGGTTTCTTTGGTGGTTGGTTTGATTATTTATTTATTTTCCCTCAAACTGTACAGTCAGTTGAGCTTCAGGCTTTTGTGAAGTGCCACAGTACTGTGCAGCCAGTGACCTAGGGTAGACGAGTCTGAAATATTTTCACATTTGAGAAGTAAAACATTATGAAAACTGTTTTGCTTCCTCTGTGCTGAGAATACTTACTTTTAAATACTGATAATGCAGTCAGTCATGGATTCTGGGGGGAAAGAACCAATCAAATATTGTAATTTTAGGTCTTTGAATCCTTGTATAGAGTGTTTTCAGTCTTCTTGCTTAGAAAGGAAGACTTTGTGTGTATTAAGATATGTTTTTGCACCTAGATCAGAGGAAGACTCAGTTTCCTACCTGAAATTGCAGTTGCTAGTTACAAAAGCATTTCCTGTGCTAGGGAGATATTTCTGTACTATTGAGCTGCATTAAAAAAAAACAAACAAAGACTTATTTCATCCTACTGTGCTTATTCTGTAATACATTAATAAAGATAGTGTTGTATTATAAAATGGATTATTCCATTTAAGACAGCCTTCACACAGACTATTCTTTTGGATTTGTCATAGGTTAAGGCTGGGCCAGCCACTAACGCAGACAGATGCTCTCTAACCCCTTCTTCTTCTCCAAAATGGGAGGGAAAAGGGAATGAGGCAGAGAGACTTATGGGTTAGAGAAGAAATACTAGAACAGCTTTAATGAAACAATAATGGAAATAATAGTGAAATGATAAAAATGATAAAGAACTACATACAACTATAGATAGTAGCCCGATATCAAATCCAACTCTCTCCCCCGATATCAATCCCCACTGGTGCTGCAGAGCAGGAGGCACTGGGGAAGCCCCAGGCTCAGTGGCGGCAGGAGCTGGATTCGGGAATTCAGGATCCGGATCAAAAGCAGGAGGTCAGATGGAGTCCTCTCTGGACACCGGCCGTTGCAGAAAACAGATGAAACTCTTGTGATCACTCAATTTATGCTAAATATGATGTATATGGGATGGAATACTCTCGTTGGTCACCTGTCCTGTCTATTACTGGAGGTGCAACCTTTCACTTCCTTGTGCCCCCTCTTACTACCCGACACCCCCAGCGTGGCACACAGGAGCCAGCAGTGGCCTTGGTCTCTACAGGAATAAGTATCAGCAAGAGCCTTTCTGCATCCCAGTCCCAGGCAGTGACTGTAAACATCAGGTGTTATCACTGCCAGTAGCACACACTATCTGCAAAAACATGCTGCTGACTTCAGAACGTGCAGCCTTTTAGAAGAGACTAAACTGAAAAGTAAAATTCACTAAACAGAACTGGGTTTTTAGCTAAACCCAAGACAGATTTCTCTGACAATTAATCTATGTCGTCTTTGTAATTTTTCCAGTAATCTTATATTTCATCTGTGGGTTTCATTTTCCTATATGAAAATGAGTAAAATAATTTCACCTGTACTGCTTTCAGTGATGAATACAAAAATTGGATATATAAGATATTGTGATGAGAAATTTGATTTCAGAGGAATACCTCAGTACTCTTGAATTTTCAAAAATATAACACTGTGGAAATGCATTTGCATTATTTCATTTAGCAAAGATATTTTTTAATTTTATAACTATTCAACCTATTTTCTTGAAAATACTAGTTCACAGTTGTTAACCCCAAATCCGTGGCCATGTAATTATACCAAAGTTAAGACCTTATTACTATGCAAAAGTCACATGATATGTTTAATGAGTGGTATCAGTTCAGTTGTTTTATAGATCAGATCTTTGTTACAAACCCAGTGCTGAATAGTTTGCCTTTACTGTGTACAAGTATTTTAATTAAAACTTGAAAATTACTTGTGCCAAGAGATTGCTTGTGGTTTATTATTTTTATACTTTTTTTTTTTGGTAGACTGTGCCCTGTGCAGATGAAATAGGAGAAGAATGTAGGCATTGATTCTCATGCGAAACTTTCTCGGAAATTATGCTGCAACTGTCTTGGACACAACGAAGAACTGTTAATCACACCAGACTGCTACACATCTTTATAATAAGACCGTCGTTCTCCTACTTTTCATGGCCTGACAGAATGTTTAAATTTCATTGGGAGTTTGAGTTAATGCTTTATGAGCAGCTGAAGTTCTTATTTCTCAGGTTGTTGTAAGCAAACCTAATAATGTTTGATCAGGTGAAGTGAGGG